TGATGTCGGCGGACAACGAGGCCCTTCGGATACCAAAGCAGTGTGAGTCCAAGAAATCCTTTAAATTAGTTGGAAGGTTGGCTCAGCCTTCCGTCCTCCCTTCCGAGGTCAGTAAACCGAGGACCCAGATTGTTGGGGGCTCTGTAAACCGCTTTGAGTGGGCTGTAAGGCACTGTGAAGCGGTGTGTAAGTGCTCTTGCTATTCAACCCTTCTCCTTTCAAATAATATTTTCTTCCAAAACCACATTAACTGGGCTCGTAAAATTGCTAGCCCAACTTAAATTCAACTAGCCTTTTCTCATTTATAAATTTATTTATAGGCCACCAATCTCACTCTGCAAAGAGACTCTTTTATCTACCATCAAATTTTTCCCATAGCCCAATTTTGATCGCTCGATCTTGCATTGTTTGGCTTTTCCTGAAGTTTCCTTAAGTTGCATTCCTGGTCAGAGGTGATTTCTGCAAACCCCATCAAGCATACGAATGTAAAAGCTATGTAAAAGGTTTTTGTCCTTTTCCATAGGACATTGCCTTCTCTTTTGAGACTTAATTCTCTTGTATTTGTTACGCAGGGCTGCTGATTCCATTAAGGCCTCTCTTTTTTTGAGATCTCAGCGGAGTTTTTAGGAGCAAACGACAGCCCAAACTAATAATGGTTCCCCCTATTTTTATTATTATGGAATTTATCTGCTATCCATCCGGTGTCAAACGACCCTGGGTGGCTTTACAACATAAAAGTATTTTAAAAAAAACATTAAAACCCAGTCAGTTATCCCTTCTTTGTGGTTAGTGGTTGTGTTCAGATTCAGTGTTCGATTTAAGAACACTGGAAGGGTGAAACCGAGATCCGAGCAGGGGGTCGGAGTTCATGACCGTTTTATTTCTCAAATGTGATCAAATCAATTCTCAAATCAAACTTTATTAAGAAAATGTGCATCTGGCAGGCAAACTCATGGTGACTCAGAGTGACTTTTACAAAGCCAAAAGCTAGTTTGGCCTAAGCGCTTAAGCCACAAGCTACAAAGCAGGAGGTCTTGAGTTCTAGTCCCGCCGTAGGCATGACAGCTGCCTGGGAGCCACCAGGGAGAAGCCTCCTTAAGAGAGGAGGCCTCCCTATTTGGGTGGGTGTCGTTTTTCTCCTTTTGGGGGGAGGGACGAGGCCCAGTGAGACAGAAGAAGGTCGATCAAGCGCCCCCCACGTGCTCCTCCTCCCCATAACTCCCCAGCCTATTTTAATTTCTCTCTTATTTTTCTCCTCTTTTCCCGGCTTCCTCCGCCAACAGCCCACCGGATCGATATGGACAGCTAATGCGGCCGCAGTGGCTTTCGCACCCGTGTCCCTGGGATGGAGGAGGAGCCACAGCCCGCTTATTTTACAGGTGCCCAGGGTGCTTCCTCCTCTTCCTCCTCCATCACCCAGGCACGCTGTGGGGCAGGAGGATCCACGATCAACATCCCCCCAGCCCCCTTGCCAAAGAGGCAAGGTCAGTTTTAAACACTCAATCATCCCAACACTTCCGGCACCCTTTGACCTCTGTATCTTTCGGACTCTTCGCCATCTCCAGCGTGTGAACCTCGGCCGATCTTGTTTCTTCTTCTAACCAAGCTGTGTTTTAAAAAAAAAAACCGTGAAAAAGAAGACGGGGGGGGGGAAGAAACGAAGAGACGGGCGGTGCGACCCACGGCCTGCGTTGCCGACCCGACGGGATTCCTGCTTAAGCCTCCTTTCTCGATCCAACCGGGATCTTCTTGGGGGGGGGGGAGCCGAAAGAAGCTCGCTCCGCCCTCCAGATCAGCCACACACACACACCCTGGCAAGAACCAGGCTACTTAAGACTCCCAACCGCTCGATCCCCGCGTAGGGCCTGGCTGGAACCCCGAGGACAATAAAAACCAGGCGCAAGACCCCTTCTGTGGCGGATGGGCTCAAGTTTCTGAATCGCAGGCCCTTCCCCTTCCGAAAAGCCACCCCGGATGCTCCCGACGCCGGAAAAAATCCATTTGTCCTCGACGCCACGAAAGCCGCGTGGTCAGCTCTGAAACAAGGTATTTCTCCCCGGATTTTAAGCACCTGCCCAGGAAAAAAAAAAAAAAAGGCGGTGTGTGTGTGTGTGTTTTGGTTCACACGCACTTCCCACAAGCCGTCCTTTTTTTTTCCTTGCGCTGCTCATTTTGCCAACTTCCAGGGTTTGGGATAATCCTCATCCTAGCAGCCCCCGTTTGGTGCTGGTTAATCCACCCGCTGCTGTTTTAAGGCCATTCACCCCCAGATCTTTGCAACAGGTTGAGATCCAGCCGCCCCCCCCCCCCCCCCCCGGTCTTTGGTGACAAGCAGCCTGTGTTCTAACCCTCCTCTTCCTCCCCCCCGTCAATGAGCTAAGGGGGGGTGTGTGGAAGGGAAGGTTGCCTCTTTCCCTGTAACATCCAAGGACAATAAAAAAAAAACAACCACCCCATTTTGTGACGGCCGGCGTCGTCTGTGTGAGATGGCTGGGGTGGGGTTGGATCCCCCATTGAAGGGGGCTCGGGGATTGGCATCTCCACCCCCGCCACCCCCCCCGGAAGAGAAAGAGGGCAAAACCTCCACCTGGGTTCCCCAACGCAAGTTGGTGTTTGGAAGGTGGGGTCCCGAGAGCTGGAAGGGGCCTCAGAGGCCACCCAGTCCAACCCCCTTGCTCAGGCAGGCAGACCCGTAGGCCATCCAGGTCAAGCGGCTGTCCGGACTGTCGTAAGGGCCCCTGGGTGGGGTGAATGGAAGCCCCCAGCGCTTCTGAGACAAGGTTCTCTTTGAAGCGACCCTGTTGAAATTGGGTGGTGGGGTCTAGTAGTTAAGGCACCAACTGGGAGAGGGGGAGTTCTAGCCCTACCTGGGGCATGGAAGACAGATGGGGTGACTGGGTCTCTCCCTCCCTTTCTCTCTCCCTCCATCTCTCTTTCTCTCTCTTTCTCTTCTTCCTTTTCTCTCTCTCCATCTCTCTCCTCTTTCTCTCCTTCTCTCTCCCTGTCTCCCTCCCTATCTCTTTCTCCATCTCTCTCTCTTTCTCTCTCTCTCTCTCTCTCTCTCTCTGTGTCTTCCTCTTCTCTCTCCATATTTCTCTCCTCTCTCCCTGTCTCCCTCCCTTTCTCTCCCTCCATCACTCTTTCTCTTCTTCCTTTTCTCTCTCTCCATCTCTCCTCTTTCTCTCCTTCTCTCTCCCTTTCTCTCTCCCCAGCCCACCTCACAGGGTTGGTTTTGGGGACTATAGGAGGGGGAAACAGACCTAGGTACATTCACCACCTTGAATTACTTAGAACAATAATAAAGACGCAATGGGAACTTAACTAATAAAGGACCCCAAACAAAACCATGTTTGGTCCCAGTCTGGAGCGATTTGCCCAGGTTTGCCCGGGGTTGAGGCATAAGCCAACATTCCTCGATGCATCGGGGAAAGAGCCCCCATTGTTCCCCGTGGAGGTGCCACGCTCTGGGGCTGCAGAAAGCTGGGTTTTCTGTTGTGCATCAGGACACAATTGGCTGTTTGTAGGGAAAGGGAAGGAAGAGAGCAGCCACTTGCGAATTAAAATTTGGGACTTTCCCCCGACGAGTGGAATGGCCCCCCCGAGAGAAAAAATCTTGCCAAACCCTTCCAATTATTTCGTGTGCCCCCTTTCTTTCAAATGTCCAGCATTTCCCACATTATAAGGTATGTGGACTTCAACTCCCAGAGTTCCCCAGCCAGCCATATGCATTTCTCCCTTTGCCCCGCATTCCTACAGCGCTCCGCTCGGGAACCGGTTGTAGCGGGCTGCACACAACGCTTGGCCTTCTGGAGCCTGTGCGCATCTGCCTAGAAACGTCATAGAGGTAGAGCGGGGTGTGTGTGTGTGTGTGTTTGCAACCCCCTCCTTCTGGTTGCCATGCGAACTTCCCCAGCCAGGAGGATCGGAGCGGGATCCCGCGGGATGGAAGCGCTTTGCCCGCCTCCTTCATTCCTGCAAGGCTTCGGCTGAGCAGCTGGCTTCTCTCCCGGGTGGTTATCCGCCTGCAAAGCCGACATTCCCTTAGCTTTGGGCATCATCCTCACCCAAAATGGCGGCGGTGCCTCCCTTCCCCTTGGGCTCCCTTCACTTTGGCTGGGGCCTCCCTGTCAGGCTCCAACGCCCCGCCCCCCTCTGCAGAAAGCCCAGGGGGCTAGGGGCATTTTGCACGTGCTCAGAGGCCCCGGCGAGTCTTGCTCCCTGCAGGGCCTACAAACTTGGGGTCTTTTCGCCTTATTCCTCCCCTGTGTTGTAAATTGTTACAACAGCCCTGCAGAGCCGACCAGGGCTGTCCTTTGCAAGCCCCTTTTCGGCTTTTGTTCATTTAGCGACCGTTCAATGTTACGACAGGACTGGGAAAAAGCGTTCCGTTGCAAAGCATCCCCGTGGTCAAAATTCAGGCGTTTGGCAACGGACTCATATTTACGACGGTCGGCGTTTCCTGGGGGGGGGGGGGGGCTGGTGTAACGTGTTCCCTTTCTGCGACCTAATGAGCCAAGTCGAGGGGGAAGCCAGTTTTGTTTAACAACCATGTCGTAAAATGGGGCAGTTTCACGTAACCCCCATTTCATTTAGCAACATCAATTTTGGGCTCCATTGTCGCAAGTCAAGGACTATCTGTAATCTAAAAGAACATGTTGGTTTATTGATTTTGGGGTGTACGTACAATGATACCCCCAAATTACTATGTCACCTGATTTTCTTTTGCATTATTTTTAAGCCTTTTTTTTTGAGGGTGGGGAGGAAAGAACGCAGCTGGAAGACAGCCAAGCGAGGGATTCGAACTCGAGAGGCCGCACTCCATAAAACAAATAATTTTAATTGTCGTTTTAAAAAATTAAAGCTCTTGAACGGAGATTGTACACAGACGAAAGCTTGGATACACAGCTGCTTTGGGCAGGACGGGGGAGGAAGACCCAGAGTTTTGGGTTGTAGGGACACACACCCCCAATCCGACCAACGTGGATAAACCAAAGAGGAAAAGGAACGGAAAATGAAATCCTGGCGTAAAGTCCCGGAAAAAGAAACCGGAAATTTCCTCCAGGCATGCCAGCTGTTGAGAAAGGGATCCCAGTGGATCTCGCCAGGGGTCTTTTGAAGGATCCAGGAATCCGCCTTCCCCCATACAGACGTTTGGGACGTGGGCAAAGGGGCTTCACACCACAACACCAGAAACGGACCAGGAATGTCATACTTAAATCGATCGAAGATTACGGGCGGCGGCGGGGGGTGTCTTCTCCCACTTTCTCCCACCTACCCTCGCCCGTCGGAGGAGGCGAAGGCAGTAAAGTCCAAAGGCAGCACCGACGGACAGCCGAAAACGAGGTCTGACCCTCGCCCTCGTCCCGCTGGGCTTTTGTCCAGCTTTTCGGACCCTTGGCTGGTTCTTGGAAGCACCAGGGAGAAAAAAATTCTCCTCCCTCCGAAAAGGGAAGGCGCCGTTCTCGTCCTTCCAAGCGCAGCTGGTGGGATTGAGGGCTTCTCAAATCTTTGGACTAACCTCTGCGGGGAAAGAGAGTCAAATTCTACAAACCGTCCCGATTTCCAAATCTTGTGCTTCGAATAACGAGAGATTATTTGTTTTCCTCTTGTCTCCTTTAGAGGTCCTTTCCGCTGTGTTTTTTTTTTGTTTGTTTGTTGCACTCAATCCCTCCGCGAATGGGGTGGCTGGTCAGCTCCCAGTTATTTCCCTTTCTGCTCCCCAAGACAAGGAAACTGAGAAGACACCCCCCACCCCCGCTCCAGTCCCCTTCGCCCCAATTTTTGCAGCCGGGAATCAGTTCTGACTCCCGACGGGAAATCCGGTGATTCGGAAGATAGGCGGGCCTCGCGGTCGGGCTCGCAGATCTCCACCCCCGGTCCTACCGACTCCCAAAACTCCCAAATTTCCAGGTTTGGCCACCGCCGGCTTAGTCCAGGAAATGCCGCCGGGAGCCCATCCGGGAACGGCTGGACCGCCGGATGTCAAATTTGGAATCCCGGCATTTCTGGCAGACGTAAACCTCGGGAACGTTGGATTTGCGGATTTTGGCGCAGGACAGGTGGATCCAGGTGTGGCACTCTTTGCATTCGATCATGGGGCGCCCGGCGAAGGGTTTCATGCAGAAACAGGTGACCAGGTCCCACGAGTCGTCGTCTGCCGAGGTGCAGAAAAACGGGGAGGAAAAATGTCAGAAAAAGGGGGGAAACTTTGGGGATTGGATTGCTTTTCGGTTCTAGGAGGAGCAGGATTGAACGCACCCAGTCTGTTTCTCTGCCTTTGGTATATTAATTTATTACCCTGCATCTATTAATTCTATAACTATTTCAGGGCAGCAGATACACCCAGTAGTCCTCACTCTTCCACCCCTGTGAGGTGGACTAAGCTGAGAGAGAGAGGACCGGCTCAAAGTCACCCAGCTGGCTTTTATGCCTAAGATGGCACTAGAACTCCCTGCTACCTAGTGATTGGCCCAAAGTCACCGACCTGATTTCATGCCTAAAGTGGAACTAGAACTCACGGTCTCCTGGCGACTGGCCGAAACGCACCCCGCTGGCTTTCTTGCCTATGGCAGTTCTAGAACTCCCCGTCTCCCAGTCTCTAGCCTGCTTCCAAATGACTTCCTTCCTGCTTCCTTCTTGGCATCAGCCATCTCCATCCTACCGTACAGCAGGATTCCTTAACTGTGTGGCGACTTCAACACGCGTGGACTTCAACTCCCAGAATTCCTCCAGCAGCCTGGAGAATTCTGGGAGCCGAAGTCCAATGGGGATCGGCTGGGGAATTCTGGGAAATTGAAAATCCACCCGTCTTAAAAAGGTAGAGAAACACTGCCGAGGAGATACCCCCATCCTCCAAGGGCCTGTAACACCAGCGACCCCCACCCTCTCTCCCGCTTCCCGCCATCTTCCTATGGGGCTCCGAGGGCGAGAGGTTCCCACCAGGTTTTACCTGAGTCCACCATGATGTCCTCATCGTCTCCACTGCCGTCTTCGTCTCGGAAGACCACCTGCTTCCCCTGCCGTATGATGGTCCTCTTGCCCACCGTCTGGACGAGGCTCTGCTCCTCCGGGGCGGCGGCTGGGTAGGGGGGATTCGAGGGGGTGTCCGAATCCCAGGCCGAGCAGCGGCCTGTGGAAGACTGAGCATCGCCTTCGGAGGACGGGCTGAGCGGGGTCTCGGCGTACGGCTCTTCTCCTTCTCTCTCCCGCAGCCCTTCCTCCTCCTCCTCTTCTTCGTCTCCGGGGTATTGGACGTCCGGCAGCGCCACATCCTTCCTCACCAGCCGCCGTTTCTTCCGGAACTTCTCCATTTTTTTCCGGTCCACCAAAAACCCGTTGGGCTTCGACCACTGGTAGAGGGAGGAATAAGCCTTGCCATGTTTGAGTTGGCTGAAGGTCTTCCGGGCTTTTCCTGGCAGGGAGAGGTGTCCCAAAGGGGGGTCCCCTCCATCGCTGTCAATGGCCCCCCGGGTGCTGTTGGGGGAGCTGGCACTGCTCCAGCCAGACGTATCCTGCAAGCACGAGAAAACTCTTCAAAAACAGCCACGCTGAGTTATTTTCCTTAGAAAGTGCTGTGGGAACTCAAGGCAGGGGGCAGAAGGAACCCCCTTTTCGCAGCTCTTTAAAGCTACCCCAGCATTTCCAAAGATGTGGGAGGAGCCACCAAGGATGGCTGTGCAATTGCAGGAAAGATGCAGTGGCTTTAAAGAGTTCCAACCGTGGCCATTTCTTTCCCCCTTCTCCCGCCCCGTTTCTGGATCTTTTCTCCAGCACCACAAAGGGATCCTCTCGGCAGCACTGGCGGAAAAGATGTGGCAACTTTAATGAGTGGCAGTGTTGGCCCACATTCCCCACTCCCGCCCCGTTTCTGGATCTTTTCTCCAGCACCACAAAGGATCCTGAGAAAAAGTTCCTTAGTGGCTGTGCAGTTGAAGGAAGCATGGAATCACAGAAGAGATGTGGCTGCTTTAAATAGTTGCAGCTGCGTCCCCTATTTCCTTTCCTTCCTGCCCGCCTTATTTCTGCACCTTTTGTCAAGCCGGACAAACGTCCCTTGGCGACTGTGCATTTGTAGACAAAATGCAATGGCAGAAAAGATGCAGCAACGTTAAAGAGTGCCAGCCGTGGCCCAAGTTTCCTCCCCGCCTCCCACATTTCTGCCTATTTTCTCATATACCACAAGGGACCTGAGGGGAGTGGGAGAACGGTTGCTGTCCAATTGTAGAAAAGAAGTAGCAGCTTTAATGATTCCAGCTATGGCCCACATCCCCTCCTCCGCTCCTATTTCTGCATCTTTTCTCAGATCTCTACTAGGGTCCTGGCAAACAGCCACTATTCATTGCTGTGCAAAAAAAGATGCAAAGGCACAAAAGACGCAGCTGCTTTCAAGAGTGCCAGCTGTGCCAAGTTCCCACCCACATTGCTGCATTTTTATCATATATGACGGGGGATAGCCACTCTCTGCGGCTGTCCAATTGCAGAAAAGATATGGCAGCTTTAATGAGTCCAGCTGTGGGCCACATTCCCCCCCTCTCTCCCCCCTCCCCCCCCCCTCCCCGATTTCTGCATCTTTTCTCAATCCCTACAAGGCTCCTGGCAAACAGCCGCCCTTCGGGCTGTGCTAGGAAGATGCAGCCACTTTCAAGAGTGCCAGCCATGCC